ATAGTAATCAAATAATAAAGCAAAACAAAAAATTCAACTCCTCAAACAGTAACTCTTACAAATACAAATTACACAATTTCATATTTCTTTAGCATTTTAACTTTAATCTCTTAAACAGATTAATTAATAATTTTTGCAATCATCGTCCAGATTATTTCATAATCGTATTCCTTTGACTGAAGTACATCTGTCCTTCAAATTTCTTTGAATTTTAGGTTTTACAAACATTTCTAGTCCCATAACAACTTTCCCTCTTCACAAACTATGATTGAATGTTCAAATTCAAGGCTAGTTTCATGACATTTAGTCTCTTGCAGCACTTGTAAGAGTTATTATAATTTAGTGACTCGTACATGTTTCTTTGTGTAATTCATGGCTTTTTAAATATTAATTGATGGAATTTTTGGTCCTTGAGAAATTATCTGCTCGGGTTTAAAGTACTGTAGCCCACACTGACTGAGTCATCCATTAATGGTCACATTCACCATCAAAACAATCAAGATACAGAGAGGCACATCCTGTTGAGGATTATTATTTCAACAACTAATTGGTGTTTTAATGTTATTTCAATTTCCTTCTTTTTAAGAACATAGTTTTAAAGTACCTTTAACATTTTTTACTCCCACTTTCTGGCTTTGTGCTAAGCTATGACATCCAAACAACCTTTAGCAATGRCATTTTGAATAAATAGCATTTAAATAAGCATGTACAACAAATAAAACTGGAAAACTTACTTTACATAAATATTTTGAAATTTTCATGTCTAATAAAGAGTGCACAATAACAAAAAAGAAAACCTCCAGTTTGCTACCATTACTTATCATTAATGCTAACTTAACATGAAAACACTAATTGATTAGCATATTGTTTAATACTTAAAAATTATACACAAATTAAATGTTTCAAAGTCAAAATATAATAATTTAAAATATTATGTACAAATATATATTCTTCAGGTTTCAGTGAAGAAAAGTGACCAACGATTAGCACAGAGGCTAATTTAACGTAAATTAGAAATCTAACACAATTAGGATTTTCTTTATAATTGGAACTTTAATCATGTTTTTTAAATCATTACTACTATCAGTCATGTTGATAACTTCAACTATTATTAACATAAATAATTCAGAGAATCAAAGAAAACTGATCAGTTAACATAAAWGCTAACTTAACACTGTTGACTAAAGCAAAGCTAATTTAGCTAGCATTGTGTTTATCATTGGAAATGTATGCACAATTTATTAATTTTTTTATTGAAGAGCCATGTTCGGATAACGTCAACTAATATTTATAGATGTATTCCTCAGGGTTCAGCAGAACAAAAGATCAACAATTAGCATAGATGCTAACTTAATATCAAAAATGCCACAGCAAAGCTAATCTGATTAGCATCCTGTTTATCACTGGAAATGTTTTTGTCATTACTAAATATTCATGTTATGACAACTTCAACTGTTATTTACAGGCAAATAATCCAGTGTTCATCAAAGAAAACGGATCAGCAATTAGCACTGATGCTAATTTAACACTGAAAATGCTATAGACAAGCTAATCTGATTAGCATCCTGTTTATAATAGGAAATATAAACACAAATCAAATGTTTCTTAGTCAGTAATGTTATGACAGCTTCAACTGTTATGTACAGACATAAATTATTCAGTTTTAGCCATGAAAAGATGAAACAAAAAACGTGAAAACCCTTTGGTTGTGCTCCAGAGGCATAAAAAAACCAACATATCTCAATAAATCAAGCATGTAAAAGTGGAAAGCTACGTTTTTGTGTTGTGAGCTGTAAAATAAATATGTTGTGCAGCGAACAGTGTAGCGGATGTTTGATATAAGTTAAAACTACTGGCTAAAGTCTTTCTTCCCGGCTTCCTGTCCAAATGAGAAGCATGCTTGAAGAACGGACAGCAGCAGCAGCAGCAGCAGCTGGTCGTGTTTTGTTTTCTCGTGTTTTGTCCCTGTTCCCGGTGGTGTTTGGCAGCACAAAGCAGAAATGAAAGCTCTTTTCAAAGCAACAAGGCCCGCGTGTTGAAACGAGCGAGACGTGAAGTCTGAATGTCCGCCGGGCGCCGACAAAACCCTGAAAATATTCAGATCTGCTGGAAAATATGTTCGCGTTTGGTCCTGAAAGCTCCAGTCTGAATAAAAACCAAATATTTTCAGGTKTTGTTCTTTTAAGATGTGACTCGTGTTTGTTTCCAGGTATGGAAAGATTCAGTCTGCAAAGGCCATCCTCGACAAGACCACCAACAAGTGTAAAGGTGAGTAAGACCATCAGTTTAATGCTTTTTAGATTCACTTTGAAAAGATTTGTTGTGGTTTTTAGAGCATCTTTCAGGCAGCTCTTGGTTTACTTTTCATTCCCGAAGTTTTTTAAAATCCAGTTTTGGTGACATATTGGAGTTAATAATCCGTCACCGCCAGCCGTTTCTGTCAAACCTCTGCTGCTTTGACACCATCAGAGCAGACGGAGCMGCCGAGTCTCGCTGCAGCGTATTGTTGCCATGGCGACAAAAGTTTGACAAAAACAAAAGCAGATTATGATGGATTATCAGAGACAGGCAGGTTTAGAGGCTCCACCAACAGATTTCTGCTCCTTATGGAGATAAATGAGAAACAGCAACTGTGCAAAGAGAAACATTAAACCAGATTATTTATTTTACATGAAATAAAACGATTCAAATCAAGACTTTGTCTTTATTAAAGATATTTATACAAATAAGCTAAAACTGGGCTGCTAAAATAAAACAACCTAAATTATTTTTATTAATCCTTCATTTTACCAGGAGAGAAACTCGCTGAGATTAAAAATCTCGTTTTCAGGAGTGTCTCAAGTTTCATAAATCACATTTTTGCAACAACATAATGATATTTAACATTAAAACAAAACAACACAAACTCAGTAAAATATAGAACTGGATGAACACAAGCTAAAAGAAGCTAAACACAAGCTAAAAGAGGCTAAACACAAGCTAAAGGAGGCTAAACACAAGCTAAANCAAGCTAAAGGAGGCTAAACACAAGCTAAAAGAGGCTAAACACAAGCTAAAAGAGGCTAAACACAAGCTAAACTAGCAGAAAAAAAACTAAATACACATACACAAAAAGCTAAAACGGACATGACTAGCTGAAACAGATTGAAAACAAGCTACAACAAACAGACAATGGTGGACAGGGACACAGGTGGAAATGGACACTGGTGAATAAAGTCTAGTGGACAGGGACACAGGTGGAAATGGACACTGGTGAATAAAGTCTAGTGGACAGGGACACAGGTGGAAATAGAAACTGCTAAACAGGGACATTAGTTGTAAATAGACACTAATGGACATTGTCATCGGTGGACAGGGTCACTGGTGGATAAAGACTGGTGGGCAGGGACACTGGTGGGCAGGGACACTGGTGGGCAGGGACATTGGTGGAAATTGACACTGGTGGGCAGGGACATTGGTGGAAATGGACACTGGTGGGCAGGGACACAGGTGGAAATGGACACTGGTGGACATTGTCATTGGTGGACAGGGGCACTGATGGATAAAGACTGGTGGACAAGGATATTAGCAGATCAAGACTGGTGGAAAGGGACATTAGTTGTAAATATACACTAGTGGACATTATCATCAGTGGAAAGAGACATTGATGGGTAAAGACTGGTGGACAGGGACATAGGTGGACATTGTCATCAGTGGACAGAGGCACTGATGGATAAAGACTGGTGGACAGGGATAATGGAGGAAATGGACACTGGTGAATAAAGACTGGTGGACAGAGACATTAGTGAATAAAGACTGGTGGACAGGGACATTAGTGTAAATAGACATTAGTGGACATTGTCTTCAGTGGACAGAGGCACTGATGGATAAAGACTAATGGACAGGGACATTGGTGGAAATGGACACTGGTGGATAAAGACTGGTGGACAGAGACAGTGAAAAAAAACTGGTGGACAGGGACATTAGTGAAAATAGACATTAGTGGACATTGTCATCAGTGGAAAGAGACACTGGTGGATAAAGACTGGTGGACAGGGATAATGGAGGAAATGGACACTGGTGAATAAAGACTGGTGGACAGAGACATTAGTGAGTAAAGACTGGTGGACAGGGACATTAGTGTAAGTAGACATTAGTGGACATTGTCTTCAGTGGACAGAGGCACTGATGGATAAAGACTAATGGACAGGGACATTGGTGGAAATGGACACTGGTGAATAAAGACTGGTGGACAGAGACAGTGAATAAAAACTGGTGGACAGGGACATTAGTGGAAATAGACATTAGTGGACATTGTCATCAGTGGAAAGAGACTCTGATTGGTAAAGACTTGTGGACAGGGACATAGGTGGACATTGTCATCAGTGGACAGAGACATTAGTGAATAAAGACTGGTGGACAGGGACATTGGTGGAAATGGACACTGGTGGACAGTAACCAGAGTCCAGTTCACGGCAGGTTTGAGTCTTGTTGGTTCCTTCTATCTGAGGGGACAGATGAGTATTGGACAGTCCAGTATTACAGTAACTGGCAGCTGCAGTTGATCACGATCACTAACAGGAAGTTAACAGGACTTTCCAAAGTAAAAGACCTTCTAGAACCTTCATCTTCACTTATTAACAAATTCAGCTGAAGGCATGTTAATATTTAACTCTGTAAGCTGAACAAGACCAACAACTTTTATCAAACTGTTTGCTGTGGCTGATTATTTATCTTTATTACCAACGCAGGTTTATAAAGTTGTTATAAATATTATTTTATAAACAACAGGTTATGGCTTCGTCGACTTCGACAGCCCAGCTGCTGCTTTAAAGGCCGTACACGCTCTAAAAACCAGCGGCATCCAGGCCCAGATGGCCAAGGTGAGTTTCCTACAGCCTTGTGTGTGTGTGTGTGTGTGTGTGTGTGTGTGTGTGTGTGTGTGTGTGTGTGTGTGTG